CTTTCATCCAGGACCAGAACTCATCCTTGGCTCGCTCAGAGCAGCCAGTCTGCGGAGCATATGCAGAAAAGAAGTGGTATCGCTTACGTTCGACGACAATAACAATCTTCATTAAACGGTCGTTGAAACGATCAACGCTTACGATCGAGTCGCGGAAGCGGTCAGAAACAACTACACCGACCCCTCTGGTGGTTCTAGGAACGTCACAGAGAACGGCTTCCGAGCCTCGTCCAATATCTCTCGATCTGCAGCAGACCTGACTGATCTGCAGACCACCTCGTTTCCTGCGTGGCACAGAGATCAATCCGTCGGCGCTCTAGAGCTTCTGCTAACTCGTACGAGCGGCCCGTCAAGGTGCCAAGATTTAACGTCGCAACACAAATCTTCCGTGCGTTGCAGGAGTTGTGGACTAGCTTAGTTGCCCCCCGACGCCGTCGTTGCAACGGAGACCCGCGCATACTTTTCACACTCGCCGGCTTTGCGAGTGCGCGTCGGCTCCCGCGGAGGCCGTAGCTTTATCTCGGAAATCACATGACGTCATTGCCATGAAGATGTGACGTGGATATTTGTAGGCCGGCCTGTCACGTAGGCCTGTCGCCTGAATTCGAATGTCCGCGATCAGCTTAGCCCACAAAAGTGAGCAGTTCCCAGTGGCACCATTTAGAGGAGCGGACCCCACTACCGAGACGTACGATTATTGGTATTTCTATTTAAAGATCATTGGCATCATTTATTATTCAACCGCTAAATCATCCTGCATCCAACTTATGGTGGTTGCTCATAAACACCACTTTAGCCCCGCATTCCATATACATCAGACGGTGAGCTTAAAAATGGTCAACCTATGGAACGGCCCGCTAACGCATTTTACAAAGCTCTTCTTCTTTTCCCTAGCGTTAGTCCCGCGCACTCGCAGAGTCCGCTGCCTTTTTCAGTCTTTGCCACTTCGCGCTGTTTAGGGCATCTTCTGCTGTGACCGTGACTTCACTTAGATCCTTCCTGATAGAGTCCCTCCACCTCTTCTCTGGAGCCCCTAGCAGTGGCTTGCCTTTCGCTTCGAAGTCTAGTGCTTTCCTTACTTCAGTGGCATCCTTAGCACGTGCCCATACCATCGCAATCGCTGTTCCCTAAATTTCAGCTGGACAGGAGCAGTATGCATGATCGCTCTGACATTCTCGTTTCCGACTCTGTCCAGTCGCGCCCAGCTGCAGGCCCATCTCAGCATCCTCATTTCGGCACAGTGAAGCTACCTTTCGTGATTCTTGTTCAGGGGCCAGCACTCGCTGCCGTGGAGCATCGCAGGCCTCACTACTGTCCGGTTCACCTTACCCTTGAGCACTCTGAAGCACCTACGGTCTCAGAGAATCCCAGTGGATTCCCTCTACTTCATCCAAGCCGCGTTGATTCGTGCCTTCACTGCCTGATCCATACTTCCGTCGGCGGCTAGATCGCTAGGTATCTGAAATCCTCCACTCTTTCGATGGTTTTTCCAGGGGCGTTCACCATTGGTTCTGATCCCTCACTTTCTGCCAAAACTTTCTGCCATTTCTGCACCGTACCCTGTACTTCTTCTTTGCTATCCGCTATCAGGGCAATGTCAACAGCGTAGAGGATTGTCTTCAGTGGTCCCTCCATGGGCCTCTTCACCATGACATCTAGTGTTAGCAGGAAGAGGCGCAAGCCCAGAGCTGACCCCTTGCACCCCAACCGTGAGTCCACCTCCTTCGTTGGGCCGTGTGGGGTGCGTATAGCCTTTGCCCCACAGTACATACCCTTCACCAAAAAGATCAGGTGTTCTCTCACATTCCGTTCCCTGAACGCCTTTGGGCTTCAAGTCTTTTGCCAACGTTTGTATGCTGCCTTCTTCTGCTTCACGACCCGCTGCACTTCCCCGTTCCAGAACCATGCTGCCTTGCCTCCTCTGAATCCACCTCGCTTCTCGCCCAGTGCTTCCTTGGCACATTGTAGGATGGCGTCGGCAACCTACTCCAAGTCTGCTGTATAGACCCGTTAGTATCCGGGAGACCGACTTCCATTATCTTTCGCCTAAAGTCACTCTTCTCGCTTGGTGCAGCTTCCACCACCGGATTCTCCGCTTGGTTCTAACTCTTGTCTTCTTGGGGATATCTATGGCAATGTCTGCCAGGAAGGGCCTGTGCTGCGGAGCCAGCTCTTCGCCAGGGAGCACCTTGGTGTTCTTGAAAGTTCTGATGGATAATCTTCTGACGAGCACATGGTCGATGTCTGTTTGTCTCCCCCCCCCCCACTGCAGTAGGTGACCCTCTGAGTCTCCCTTTTTGCGAAGAATGCTGCGGATTGCCAGATCGTGGGCTGTAGTCAGATCCAGGATCCACTCTCCTACGACATTTCTCACTTCTATTCCTCTACACTCCGCTTCGTGCACCCTTTCCAGGTCTCTTCTGTCGCCGCCGATGTATCCATTTAGATCACCTCGTCAGGTAGTCGCCTTCTGAGATCGATCTGATGGCATCGTCAAGGCTAAGGTAGAACTTGTCCTTCTCGCTCTCGGGGCATCCGGTCTACGGAGAGTACACTGACAGTATTTACCAGTACCCCTAGTTCGTGTCTATTCTTATGGCCATGATCCGATCGCTAACCCTGTTCACAGCGGAGACATGGTCCTTGAGCGACTCTGCTACCGCTATGGCCACACCATTCCGCTTTGTGTCTTCTCAAGTGTAGTAACGTTTAACACCGTTCCCGATTTCCCTGGCCTTAGCCCCTTTCCATCGCATCTCCTGAAGGCATAGGACTTGGATTCCTGCGCGTCATCAGATCAGCAACCTCTCGGGACATTCCAGTTAACGATCCTACATTTAGAGTCCCTATTCGAACAAGCTTCTTTAGCCGAGGCTGTTCCTTCCTTGGAAGCCCTCGCACACTGACCACAAAACTCGGGCGGGAGTTCTGCGCGCCACTTCCGGGTGACGTCCTCGCTTTGTCAGTGATTCTTTGACAAGTTTTAGACATGGTTGGTGTGACTGGGTACTCATCAGCCGGCCTGTCAACCTGGGTCTGGCGCTGGTACTAGAACCAATTTTTTTTGCAATTTCTGCAGGGTATGGTTTCAAGCCTTGGCAGGGATCGAACTCGTGGTTTACAGAGGTGCAGACATGAGTCTAACCTCTTAACCACTCGGCTATCCCTGCCTCGCATTTTACGAAGCAATTTATTGTTTAGCGACGGAATCTAACGCTTCACCAGCTGTCCAGTTTTACCAAGCCTTCCCTTGTCATGCATGCGATAGTGTGCGGAGCTAAAGTGGTAGGTTAATAAGCGAGCGAAGGCAACCGTAGGTTGCGTCCTCGAAGCGTGATCATAATAACAGAGAGCAAAAAAGTAGTCATTCTCGTGTCATTGCTATGGATAAAATTGAAATTGAATAATCGCAACTAATACTTTCTGGAAGGCGACGCTTACCCAAGAAGTAAAAGCGGTAGCATAAACGTGTAGAGCGATGAGTACCGCTACTTGTAGACATCACGATTTCCGCCCCTTTCTGATGTACTATCACACTTGCTTCTTCTACCGAGGCTGGATTTTTTGTGTTTCTAGGATTAATCCTCATCACGGCCGAATTCAAAGCAAAGTGCAGTACAAAGCTTTTTTGTGCAATAAATTTTTAATGGTTCTCTACACGTACAGAAAGGATGTCTCGTAGCAATTCGTCCAATTTTTTTCCAGACATCCAACTCTTCCTTTACAGGTGGATGTATACTCGTACGGCGTGGTCCTTTGGGAGTTGGTGACACGGGAGCAGCCATACAAGAACATCAACCAAATGGCTATTATTTATGGAGTCGGTTCGAAGTGGGTCTGGCTTATCATATTAGAGTTTTTATAGTAATTCTACCGTCACTACAAATGAATTGCCTTCCTAGAAGTCATAGTTTGCACATGAATTTTTGAAAAGATTCAAGAAAACAGTGCTATTAATTAAAGAGATGTGACGTGTGCAGCCAAAAGAAACGGATGTCTTCTATACACACGCAAGGCGGGTGTCGGTGTTTCGAGATCATCCGAGATTCCAGCAAACAGGTGCTAGCAATGAGCCCCATCCAAACCTAACTCTTAGTCTAGGTCTTTTTCAAAATTGAGTTATCGATTTGTTTCGCGTGTTAGTATCGCTCCTAGCTACGCTAATTCTCAGAACAAATCTAGATGACGTACGCTGGATTTGACCTGGGATTTGATCCAAGGATCATGCGCGCGGTAGCGATCCTCTTTTGTGACAATCCCGACTGAATGCATTGAATTAGTAATTCAATTATCATTAACGAATCCACAATTTGGTATTGAATGTGTGCGTAACTTAAAAATGAACATTTTATAAACTGCGCACACTTAGTGACGCGCGGTACGGCTTGCTTTATTAACTTGACTTGTCACGATTTGTTGTTAGAGTAAAAATTATATATCGGGTTGTCTCATAATTCCTGTCTCAATTTCGACACTTTTGTTTACCCAGGTTTTATCTCTTATAGGAAACAACTGATCAATAACATAACCACCATCATGGTCACTGTTATGCGTGCATTTGCTAGTGAGCGTTTGGAAACTTCCAGCCCAGAATGAAGGGAGCTGGGGTTTGAAGAATTTGGAAAATTCGTTTTTGGGATGGTAATCTATAACTTTCTGCTCCAGCTGATGCTTATTCAGGGCGCAGAGGAGGCGATAGTCCGACAGAGCGATGCCAATACTATATGGTGGATGAGGTATCGTGGCCCTGGCTATCTCCCTAGAGCGTGGTGAGTTGGCACTGCAATGTGAGGTCTGGCGTACATTCGTAGAAAGGAGAATCTGAGACAATTCTGACGATTCCCTCGCAACTCCAAAGCCAGCCTAGAGGGCTATTCCACGCTGACTTTAGCAATGCTTGTCTTTATTCATTGAAGTGGTTCCCAAACCAGGCCACCTAGCGAATCCTGCAAACGAGAGCGATATTCTCAGAAAACGGAGTTCGAGCTTCTTTGAGTTGGTGCTTCCTGGCTGCGAGGTAGCCATCAGATATCCCGCATGTTGTTGTCGCAGTCTACTCATGAGTCATTTCCACTGGTGGCCGATTAGGGAAGGCTCTGCTTTTGCCGTCCCAGAATGGATTTTCCCCAGATGGTCAGGCGTGCTTTCCGCTCATGGTCAGCAAGACCGCAAGGTTTTCATCAAAACTTGATTCTGCAACAGTTCTTGCCATACTGATGCGTGTGCTGGTGTATCGACTGCGCTCAGGTATCCGCTACAATACCCAGGTAGCAACGTCCGGAGGCACTCCCAATTAGGATGCAAGGGGCGCTCATCAAAAGTGACCGCAGGTCCAGTATGAGGTTGAAGTTCATAGCTAGTTTCTTCTTTGCCATTGCGATTAGACCACTAGCTCAGTACCCTGTCATTAGCAGAGACTGGGTCAAAAACAGCGCTGACCTTCTTTGTTGTCGTCCTTGTAAGAGAGCATTGAAGGATCGTAAAGCATAATCATCCATTACAGTCACTGAGCTATTTTTATTCCTAGTTGATTTACCCATTATGGGCTTGCGTTTGCGAAACCATGCTGTTAAGGCTTTTGAAGCATGCTTCAACATACTAACGTATATCGCAATGAAACGGTCTTAGACGGAAGAAATTTGAAATTGAATAGAAATGTGACAGGAATTATGAAATAACCAATAAATGCGATGTATGCACAATTCCGCTATCGAGTGGACGCTCCCGTCAACAAGCCTCAAAACTGCGGTAATGCTTTTGACTAGGGAAGTGGTACACATGTGTCTCAACAGTAGTCAAAGGATTAAAGATAGTAGGAGTTTTTAGGGGACGTTTGGGTACTCGATGATAAGTAGTGGTGAGAAAAGCATCGGAATCGTCAAGAAAACGCAAATTGCCCCCCTTTGTGGCACTTGATTGGCGCTCACGGACGTACAGCGGCTAAGACGGGGGACATAAGGACGAGCTGACAACAACGCTTCAGTGACACTATGCTGATCCAAGCTCAGTCGAGTTGCTCTTTTTGTACAGCTGGTGAACACAGCTCGTACAAATCACCAACTGAACTAGTGAGCGGATCGCTTCTAGGACGGATTGCTGTCGAAGTTCTGCTCGGCACCTATGGTCGTGAAAGTGTCACACCTCGCTCCCTTAGCAGCCAAGTAACTGTCCGCGTATGAAGACTGGAAGGGGGGGGCAAAAAAGAGTCACGCCGATGGCGCCTATCACCAAACTTTTCTTCACAGGGTGCTGCTGCTGAAGGAACAAGGAACTTTTACGGCAAAATTTTTCGATGTCCCCCCCCCCCTCCATACGCAGAAGCTGGCCCTCCTTCACTGCCCTCACTGTCTTCAGGATATCACGTTATCTACCATCACTGTCAGGCTCCAAGAGGCCCATCGTAATCGCTCTAACCTGGAGCTGCTACATAGTTTCTTTGAACAATTAGTTGGTGTACAGCATCCTGTAGGTTGTAGTCTAGTCTACGCAAGACCACCTTCGACTACCGTTTTAGATAATGTAATAACCCACGATCCGTCGACGTCCTTGTGGAGCTCGTACCGGGCACCATGTTCCCGAAGCATAATCTTCTGAGATCATTGATATCGAAGGATACTATGCAACTTCCATTTGAGATCATTCGGTTTCGTTTTAGAGAAAAGTAATTGATTCCGCTCTGAATAGGAGGATGAGGGACTCGTTTTTAATGCCCCATCATCCCCTCCCCTTCCCTGCACATATGCCCCGCACTGCTACTACCCACTTTGAGAAGGCCGAGCTGGATTTTAGTCCAAGGAGAGATTTTTAGTCCAAGGGGATGAAAACGGCTAAATAATTGCTCCGGTGGGTAAGTAGACCCGTAAATTAAGAATTTCGTATCGAAGACGCCTGGCTCTCGAGAAGCTCTGTATTACTGAACTCGCTGAAAATTCAGCTTGGTGTAGCTGGACTTGCAGAAAAAGAATATCGCATCAGTATTTAACGAGAAGGCCTGGTGTCTGCGCCGCCGGCACCGGTGTCAGGCGCTCTCGTAGAATGCGGTGCGATAATGTGTTTTACGGGTCAAACTACCCTCCTAAGCAAGTTTCCAGCCGGTTTCGTCCCCTAAGACAAATTTCGTTGTATGGTCCTATCCCTCCAACGTTCCCAGTAAATAGTGCCGACAGAGTGAAGGCAAAATGGATCGCTTGCGATCATGAGTCTTGAGACTACACAACTTAACAAAAAGGATTGAATCAAAAGCCAGACCGAAACGGGGTACATCGCCGTACTCGATTTCGGACGTTGGCCCATACGCAGATTTATTGGACGGACTAGGAGCGTGGTTTCAGTGATGAGGAGAGAGCTACTTACTCATGATAAGCAAATATGGAGCCGTAAATTCATTTTTTTACTTCGATCAGGAGCACTAAATTTACCCTAATTTCCGGTAGATAAGCCCGCGCCACTATCACGTAAAAACACCTTCGGTCGTGCAGTGTTGTTTTGCACACATTAGAAACTACCGTAAATTTGCCTACAAGGGTAATTCGATGCCCTGATTACGAATATGACATTCATTTTTTATGCTGGGGCCATTTGGCGCCAGTTGACGTCACCTTGTCACGACACCTGTTTTCACCAAATTTGATGTAAACTTCCGTATAGCGTGTCCTGATTACGAATATGACATTAATTCTTGGCGATGGCGCTATTTGGCGCCTATTTTCTGCTCGTCTGCGCTTTCCGACCGAAAAATATGCATTGAGCAACGCTATTGTCAAAAACGGATGCCATATTCGTGAGCATGGCTCCAAATAACCCTTATAGATAAGTTTACATCGATGTTGGTGGATGGGTCGTGACAAGGTGACGTCAACTGGCGCCAGATGACGCCATCGCTGAAAACGAGTGCCGTCTTCGTAATCAGCATATCGAATTACCACTATGGGCAAATTACGGTTGTCTTTAGTTGTACGCAAGTAAACTGCATCCGCTGGGGCGTTTTCACGTGAAAACTGCGCGGACTCATCTACCGGAAATTAGGGTGATCCACGTCAACCTCTTGTCCAATACGAACCTTGTAGTTGTACACGCTTGATTCAAGGAGCGTCTCACTGATTTTCGGTGTTTTAGCAATCTCTCGTTGCCGATCCCAGATTCTGCTCCCGATGGCCTGAAGATGCTGATGCGACAGTGCTGGAGTGCCACACCGCGCAATCGACCGTCATTCACGCAATGCCTGAAATACATGGACATCTTGTATGCGGAATTCAAAGAAATGGGGAGTGAGGTAATGATCAACGACCAAAGCAAAATGGCTTCAAATTGATCACTAGCTGTCTACTGGGTCTTTCAGGAGTTCTTCCGACGTAGTGCTAAATGGCGAGCCGATGCGGCAAACATACAGTATCCCGAGACGCTCACCAAAGGGAACGCACATAACTTTGCCGAACGAGAAGATGGTAAGCGGTAACTTCAACTGATAAGGGTAATGTTCTCGCTGTCAGAGACAGGCGTACCGTTGCGCAAAAAGGGTCAAACGACCCTCTTAACCCATGCCATCCTTCACTCTCACCACTTCTTATTCTGCACTTCAACTTCCTAAGAAACTCTTTCTTTCGATGACGAAGGAACTGGTATTGACGACAGTAAAAACAGTAAAACATCGTAGAGCCTCTGAAATTCTGAAAAACTGCCTTGAGCAGGGGTATTTCTGGCTGGAACTAGTTGGCTTTGCATGGAACTGCAGAAGGATTCCCGCCGAATAAGTGATAAATTACTGTTTCTGAATATCAGCACCTGGACCACTGAACGATCAAGAGGCGTGTATCGCGGATAAATTGAAGATGTTCAAGGAGTCTTCGGCCCAATGCTTTTTCGGTGATAACTTTTTTTGCCAAGCCGAATTCGTCCGCATTTCCATACATTTCGAAAACAAGTCTTTTCAATGAATCAGCGTATTTCTGTTAAAGTGGAGGTAGAGAAAAGAATAAAAAGTTATTTTATTGGAAATTCGAGTATGATCCAATTCTAAGTAAATTTCAAACTATTCCATAGATTTCACAGTTCAATAGAACAATCATCCGTATGATATGACCCGTTTAGTTCCACCCGCTACCGCGCGCATGATGCGGAAGCCTTTGATAGAACTGACAGTCGTTGGAGCTTTAGGTTTCACCGCTAAACTATAGCTGCTTCGTTAAATGCGTTACTATCCGTTGCATAAGATGCCCATCTTGGCTGTATCTCACTGTTTGATAAGCGCAGTGAAGTGCTCAGCTAAAGTGATGTATGTAAACAACCATCATGCATCGAGTATCGGGGTAATTTAGCGGTCGAATGATTTTTGGTAATCTCAAAACGGAATGCCCAGTATTCATTATCGTATTTATTCGAGCATCCCATTCATCCTCAAGAAATCTATACAATGCAGCGGTCGAAAGGTGTTTGAGTTTACAACTACAATGCTAATGAAATGACATAGAGCGTATGACATGCTATGAATTTCGTGACACACGCACACACACACAACAGACAGACATAGCGTTTATATATAGTAGGGATAATAACATTGACTATGATTAAAATTTTATTGACGAAGTCTAGTCACTGAAACGTTAACAGGGCCAAAGTATTGAATCAGTTAATGAATTCACTGCCCCTTATAGCGATAATTTCGTGGATAATTCGGAGGTGCATAGAAAGAGCGCTAGGAACCTAGTTATTCAATACCAGTTGGCGCCGCACACGTTGCGCGCACAGCACAGTTCTGCGGCGACATAGGGTGGTGCATTACAGTGAATTTTCGAATTTGGCCTAATACACTTTGAATACTTGACTTCCAGGCTGAATTCTATCCGACTGCCCCATGCTTCATCCACCGATGGCTTTTGAGCTTCCCTCCTTCCTCCACCAACTGTCCGTAATCGTCAACCAATTGTCCGTTTCTACCGGCCTCGGACTGCCTCCGGACCAATTAATGAACCTCGTGGTAAACTCCGCCTATTTCTTTGCACCCACCTATCTGTCCCACCTATCTTTATTTTTTTCTTCGCCAACCTCATCCCACTTTTCACCCGATCTCTGAACTACCTCTGAGCCGATTTATAATTTTGGCTGCGAATTCTGCTTTTTTGGTGTATTTTCCGCACACCACCAGAACATCACTTCTTTTCCTTCACTCACTACTCTCCCGGTCTCCAGCACTTCCTGCACCTGAGTCACAAAGTTTTGTGGAGAACTACGCCTACCGAAATGCTCCGCCCACTAACAGTAGTTGGGCTCCACTCCTTCATCCACCTCTATCCATCTTTTTCCCGGTCTCTAGGGCTTCTTGGAACACCACTTCTATCCTCCCTTTTCCCGGTCTCCGAGACATCTCGGAACCGAGTTATGAATTTCCGTCGCAGACTCCGCCCACTTCGGGAATGCACCGCCCACCGATGATAGTTGGCCTCCACTCCTTCGCCCACCTCTATCCTCCCTTTTCTCGGTCTCCGAGACATTTTGGAACCGAGTTATGAATTTCCTCCGCAAACCCCGCCCACTTTGATGTGCGCTCTACCCACCCATAACAGTTAACCTCTCTTCCGTTGTCGAGCTCAATTCACTTTTCTCCCGGTCTCATGAATTACCTCCGCAAACTCCGCCCACTTTGGTGTACGCTCTACCCACCCATAACAGTTAACCTCGCTTCCGTTGTCGAACTCAATTCACTTTTCTCCCGGGGCCGTAAGGTATGCTTCCCCGAATGGTTGCGGGGACGAAAGTCCCTTTAAATTTTTCGTTTTTAACGATACTGCTTCTTTATTTTCAATGCATGCTTACTTTAAGCTACATACATATATTAGATGTAGGCCCTTTATCAGGACAATCCCAGTTGGGACTACAGAGAAAATTTAAAGGAACTTTTGTCCCCTAATTCTTCGGGGAGGCATACCTTACGGCCCCCGGTCTCATGAATTACTTCCGCAAACTCCGCCCACTTTGGTGTACGCTCTACCCACCCAAAACAGTCAACCCCCCTCCGTTGTCGAACTCAATTCACTTTTCTCCCAGTCTCACGAATTACCTCCGCAAACTCCGCCCACTTTGGTGTACGCTCTACCCACCCAAAACAGTCAACCTCCCTTCCGTTGTCGAACTCGATTCAATAGCACATAGGTTCAACGTTCGATGAATCTTGGCATCGTGTGTGGTATACTTGGAGTAGTTTTGAAGCCACAAGCCAAAGATGTTACAGATCTTTATTCGGCTAACGTTTCGGCTTGGTCGCCTTCATCAGAGCCTGGAAAAGTCAAAGATCACTGCGGACCACGCATACACATTCCGAACTTCGAAATCCGTCCTCATAGCCAGAAATTCCACTGGGGGCATCATACACCACAAGCACAAGCTGGTTCACCTTAGATGTTATCGAAACTCAATTCACTTCCTCCAGTCTCATGAATTTCCCCGCAAACGCCCGCCCACTTTGGTGTACGCTCTACACCACTCAACGGTCAAACCCTTCCGTTGTCGACTCAATTCACTTTTGATTGTTGTGTTGTTAACTGCTGTTTTTGCGCCGCAGTTCGGCCTGCGAATGGTTTCACAAAATGCTGGTGTTGAACAAAAACACTTTCGCGCCCAGGTGGACTAACCCGCACCTCTCGCGTGTCCGGGCAAGTGCGCTACCAGTTACGCTACCGCGGGTCACATTTCATCCCACTAGCTTTTCATGCGTATACGTACCATAGCTTTCAGCCTCACCGTTATAACGTGTTAGCCGGTTCAGCCGATATCGCAATGACCAGATGCTGAACAGCTTTAGCAATGAATTTTGACTTTCTCTTTTATTATGGATCAGTTCACTTATCTCCGGCTCTGAATTTCCTCCGCAAACCCCGCCCACTTTGGTGTACGCTCTACCCACTCAAAACGGTCAAACCCCTTCCGTTGTCGAACTCAATTCACTTTTCTCCCGGTCTCATGAATTCCTCCGCAAACCCCGCCCACTTTGGTGTACGCTCTACCCACTCAAAACGGTCAAACCCCTTCCGTTGTCGAACTCAATTCACTTTTCTCCCGGTCTCATGAATTCCTCCGCAAACCCCGCCGACGTGGGTAAAAGTTACAACCCCGTGAGTTGATTACCCGTGCAGTGTGACACCAGCAAGGTGTGTTTTCGAATTCTCCTATGCCTCCAACCAAAAGTACTCTCGCACAATTATGCTCATAAATCGTGAGAAAAACGTATTGTTTAGGATCTCTCTTGAATTTCTTTCATCCTTTCTTTCTGGTGGGACCGAACAGCGGCTAGTTTTGAAACTCACTCACCACACGTGAGTGAGTGATGAAACGTGTTTTTCCAAAATCCAGGATGCAGTAGAAAGTATACACCAGTTGTGTCATGTCAGACAGCGAGAAGTTGGAACACACCTATCCTTTTGAAACAGTCTATGCTGCCGCAGAATCCTTTTCATTTCACATGAGATGTTAAACAATTAAAATAAAAGTTTGTGAATGAATTTTGACAGAATAGCAAAAGGCTAGTCACTGAGGGAAGTGACAAAGCTCCAAATAAGTAGTGAAAGGAAAAAAGTAGGGTAGAGCTCCCAAAAATGAAAGCACTGAGATATCATCCACCGCTACCGGCCTTGTAGCTCCAGCCTTGTAGCTAGTGATCACACTATGAGGTCAGATCAAATCAAATAAGCGCAACCTTCTTTTGCTTGATATTGACCATACCATCCTTCCCGTAAACCTACTAGTACTACTTGAAAAGGAGATGAGGGCTGTAACGTGAGCGCTGCTGTGATACGCATTAGCCGAGGGATCAGATCTCATAGGATCAGGATCCAGCTTGCAATCCAGTGGGATCGATTAATTGGCATGACTTGATCTCTTGAAGCAACAATTCCAGATCGGATCGGATCGGATCGCGATGTAAAATTGGTTGATTATGAAACTGTGGATGCCGAGTTGATTGCGAATAGAAAAAAAATCAAAGAAAACCGCCAACGAAGCTATCAATGAGGATTCTCTGTCTTGAAATGAAGGAAGGGCGGGCCGGACGAATGTCCGAACTAGCTTGATCCACAGCCATTCATTGCTAGCTCGCGCCAAACAGTGCTTTAGCAAGAATGCGGCTACAATCACATAAGCATGAATACATGCAGAGAATATGCATCAGTACAGCAAAGAAATGCCATAATGAAATGGGTCAAGCAGTAAGGCCAAAAAAGAGGCAGCATCAATTCCGGAAGGCGGGAACGACTTCGAAGTGGGCGTTACTGGACATTGCTACTACTTCGAAAGGAAACGCCTACTTCGAAAGCGTTCACGTGCTTTCCAGCGGCTTTCCAATGTATGTTTCTGTTTCCTGACATTTCGTATGTTGTTAAGTAGGGCTAGCGCATCATGTCCACACCATTAGTATCGAAGGTAAGGACCCTGCTGGGACTTTTGCTTCAATGATACGCTGGCTGGACTCTGCATTCCATTGTTTGAGCGAAAAACTATTCAAATATTATTATTGCGATGTTGGTGCTGGATGCGTGCTACACTTCAAGAGTAATTTTCGGAAGAAGTGTTGAATCTATTTGTAATCGCATCTGGATGCAATCAAGGTGAAGTTGAGACAACTACTATACTCGTGAGAAAATACGTCCATTCCAGAAAAGGAGCTCATTCGGAAACGTCGTGAAGAGCTCAAACATGCACAGGATATCCGTGAGATGTACGAGAACAAACTGAAGCGCACCAACAAAATGTACTCGAAGCTAACCGACTGCATGAATGAGTTGTTGCTGAAAGAAAAGGTGAGCGATCTGGTGGCCTTTGGTGTGCATACAACTTCCCCCGCTTCAACAGCGGCGCGTGTCGCGGTTGAAAAGGGATGCGTGCGGTAGCTGCGCGGCACTATTGCCTTAACTGCTTCTGCTTAATTGCCTTCTGTATTTCGCAGCAAACGCTACGGTATGTCGAATTAAATCAATCAATACTACTGATAACTTGCTTTGGTCTCCGTGGGCAATCATAATTGTTGCTGAAATGATTATGGATTTCTACACTGAAGTGCGAAATTTAGGGACGGAAGTAACTTTCACATGATATCTGGTTGCTAGCTAACCTAGGTCACTCAATTTGGTACATACATAAAAGTAAATGTTGCGATACAGTGCAGAGAGTTACTAGCACAAAAGCGCAACGGGACGATTGGATAAGATATTTTTCTTCAAATACCTTGTCTAAAGCAGTCGATAGGTGAGGCACTCCAACCAGGGTCAACCGTCACGCTCGAACATTTTCGGGATTTTTGCGAACCCCTAGCTCTCGAGGGGGTCCAGTTTCGACCCCCTGTTTTTGTCAATAAGAGTGATAGACATGAATCCGTTGCGGCAGAAAGCGTCTGCATTGCGGCGTCAGCGTTGGAGCGCGGCAGGTATCACCCGGGCGCTGGAAGAACGGGACGCGGCTAAGAAAAATTTTTAGAGGGGAATAACTTTCTTGGGACGTACTTGTTGAGGTGGATTTTGATTGTGCCTGAGGTGCGCTTTCAGAAAACTACAAGAACTGCCTAACTCTCTGGAAAGTTCTTCTGTTAGAAGTGGAAAAACCCAAAATTATAAGAAGGCGCCCCTTCAACTTTGAAGGCCCATAAAATTTTCGTATGCGACATTTGGGAAATCTGTAAAAGTTTCAGAAACTTCAAGTTTGTCTCTGACAAAGCAATTTAAAAAAGTTTAGTGACTGTCCCCCTTTTCAAAAAATTGTCCCCTTCGAACATTTTTCGTGCAAAAGCGAGTTTTTGGGCTTTCAGCGGCCATAAACTCACTTCATTTTCATTTCTGTGATGCACTTTTATCATGGGATGGAAGTACAAGATTGGCTCTTTCTGAAAAATACTGAATCGTTTCTCACAGTTCATTCTCCGAGAAGATGACACGTTCGAACATATTGTTCCCATGGGTTTTTGAGCAGCACATGCGTAGTTTTGAGCTTTTTGGCAATAATAACTTCCTTCAAAGAACTTGTTGGGGAGGGACGAAGACATTTTTGAAGACTAAGAGATTTCTGCTTTGTTATATATCTTACCTTTGTTTGGAAGAATCGTCCTCAGATAAATTAGTTCCCGAAGAACTTTAATTTCAGCCCCGGGAAGTCAAACCTTTCATAGGGTACATCCAGCTGTTCTTTACTCCTTGCGAAAACACTGTAATTTACTTAAAACTGAATTTCTGTGCTTGCGAAAACACTGTAATTTACTTAAAACTGAATCTCTGTGCATAATAAATCGAATCTAATGTGGTCTGCACAAGCAAGTCTTGCCCTCGGATACGCCACGCACGCGCGTGTGGCTGGCAGTCCTCGAAATGGCGACCCCCTTCCGCCCAAAATGCGACCCCTTCGTTCGAACAGTTCGAACGGACGGTTGACCCTGACTACGACTCATGGTAGACATTCAAATGAGAAGAGCTGGTTTTTGATACAATGTATGAACACCACGGACTGCAAAGCATGCTCTGCCACGTGCTCCAATACTGACCACAAAAATGTTTACGAGTTCTAGTAGAGAAGCGATTCCTCCCTTGAAGATCGCTACTGACAATTGCTGGACGGTTGTTAGTGCATGGGGATGCGCTGCTAGCTCTCCTTAATGCAGGCCAGACGTGCTCCATAGCGTGCAGGCTCCACCAATTGCCGGAAAACCTCGCTTTCCAAGAGTTTTCCACCGCGATTCCTACTCGATGCTTTTGTACCTTGTCCTCTATACGATTGAGGTTGAGGTCAAAGGCACCCTTGAAAAGATGCATATAAGGGGGGAGTTCAGCGTCACAATAACACCGATCACAAAGCATTTTGCGATCAGTTGGGAGGTTGGTACGCCCTTGCAACTTTATGCCTCACGCACCATATCGAATGGATTACTAAAACAATTATGTTGAACGATGGCTCTGGTTGCATTATGTGGTCCTATTCTTGCCAACGCCAACGCAAACGGGAAGTCCATAATCACTACTTGTATGCAATTTGATCATAACTGAGGAGAGCGCGCGATCACCAAATCGGTGCTCCATAGCTAATCTCCCGGCACCTAGCAAATGTTCCCGCCGATGCGCGGTTTTCGAGGAAACATCAGATATTGTTGGTCGATCAGAGAGATCATGCGTTACGGTCACTGTACCACTGTTCAGCCTGGGATTACGTACCTTACAATCCTGATACATGTTTTTGCAACTGCAGCCTGTGACTGGCGTAGGTCAATTCTTGCCTGTTGCAAAACATAGCAATCACCTGCTGTTGCAATTGATCGTGATCTACCACCTACTGTTCTAGGGGTAGCATAGCTGCAGTTCATATTGCTCCTTATGTGCGCAAAACAATGGTGTGAGTACCACCAAACTCCTGGACCACACTCGTAACACATCTTCCTTCTTCCATTCTCCTGATTCTTCCTCACATAAAGTCACCCTCGCGTTGCCTTTGAGAATTGCTGCAAAACACCACTACATTCCATAGTAACTTCTCCCTGCTGGCACTCACTTGTCCTGTCCCACCGAACCCTTCGTCTTACGTGGCCGCTCTCTTTTGGCTCCAGACTGAAGCCGACCGCTGTACATGCAATATTAGGCAAAAGTTCATGTCCATGACTGCAAGGCTTTCAGCAGTGCAAAGCAGTTCATCAAATTCCATCGAATTGTTAATTAGTTGAGTCAATTTATCCATCTCGTTCTTAAGTTTTGCCCACCAATGTTTCAGGATCGATATTCATTGACAATAATTACAATTTTTGAAATCACATTTCCATAGGAACTGGAACAACGTATCCGTTTGTGGGACGAGACACATCGCTACGCGTCGTTCTACCCGAGCACAAGCGGCACACGTCCTACCGTTGTCAGAGCAGGCCCGCGGACCATTAGAGGATCAGAACAAGAGTGAGCTAGTTCATTTTTACATCTAGTCTTGGCAAGATCTACCCGACAATATAAATATATTTGATCAGCAAGACTTTCTCTAAATATTTTCAACAAGACAAAAAAAGAAATCTGGGACTTTCTCTTTGCAGCATCTACTGTACAGCTATCGATCCGCACACCTATGGTATTGATGTGTCATCAAGTGAGGAGGACTTGGTCGACTACCATCGCGGTTCACCGTATAGGTGCAGTCAGGCGAGCAGGTATGCGGCAGTCGGTCAGATAAGCAATGAAATTCTGACTGTCTTCACTCCATCGCAGCTGTTGGCCGCGCACCACTTCCGGAGGTGGGCGGTCCTGAATTGACCAGGCGGCCCTGGATTGAAACCGAACGCCCCAGGGCCTTAACGGGGTTTGTCAAAGTTGCTGCAATGTGTGCAGCTATCCACATACAACCTCCAGGCACGGGAATTACTTCTCTAGCGTGCCTGAGCCCGACCTTTGCCTTTAAGGGTTCATATATTCTCCACAAACAGGGCCAGCGAACAGTTGGGATTGTTGTCTAAAGCCATCATTTCGGCGAAACTTGTATCAGAGGGGAAAGGGGTATAGGCGCATCCATCTTATATGTTGAATATTTCATTGTCATTGTCTGAATGTAAATAATGTAATTATGTATCCCTATGTATCCCTAATCCTAACAGTGATTTCAATTGAATTTGGTTCTGGAGTTGAGCAATATTTTCTTCCTCGAATGGTACAATATTTTCAGAAAAAATGGGACCCTTATCAATCAGCAGTACACCAAACGACCTCTCGATGATGCTAGATCTTCCAAACGCCACCTAAAAATAGTTCAGAAAGCTTCCATTACGTCCCCTCCCCCCTCAGAAAAAAACAACTACGTTGAGTTCTTAAACCAATTTCTGCATTGGAAAAATTTGCGCGAAAATCAAAAAAAGAAGCTGATTTGACCTGGGTGGGCGCTTGTGCTGAGTCAATATAAGGAGCTCAGATTTTTGGAGAGAGGACAATAGGACAATATCATATCAGGATCAGTGATGGCATTACAAACCGAAGAATTCGTCACTAAGCTACATTTCAAAATTGCTTCCGCTAGACTAGAAACCGATATTGACCTTGATAAAAGTGTGCTTTCACTAAGCACGCTTGACCACCGATTCGAGTAGGTTAGGATTTATTAAGATCAATGGTACTGAATTTACTAACATCTTCAAGTATCTTGGATCAGCAACTGCGTCTGACGGCAGCCTAATCTTTGAAACAAATTCTCGCTTGAATGCAGCCTAGTCGAAATGGCGCTCGATGACTGGCGTTCTCTGCGATGGAGACATGCCAGAACGTCTCGAATCTAAGTTCTATGGGACCGTTATCCGGCCGGTCGCGATTTACGGTGCGTGGCCTACGACGAAAGAAATCGAAGCACGGCTCAGTGTGATGGAGACCAAGATACTGCGCTGGACAGCCGGAGTCACACAAGTAGACCACATTCGAAACGATGTCATCAGAGAGCGATTCGGGGTGGCTCCAATTTTCGACAAGATGCGCGAAGCCCGTCTTCGATGGTGTGGTCATGTCTTTCGCGCGAAAGATGACAGTGTCTGTAAGATCGGTTTCAATCTTTACGTGCTCGGAAAGCGGCCTAAGGGGCGCCCAAAGCAGCGATGGCTCGAGACGTTGCACGAAGACTTGAAATCGGCTAATATCCACCCCGATCAAGCATTTATTCGGGAAAAGTAGCGTCGACATATAAGGAAAGCGGACCCCGCCTAAAAGCAGGACAGACGCTAAAGGATAAGAAGGAAGGAGAAGACTAGAAACCGATATTCTGAACCCCACAAAAGGGCCTATATCCGATGATTTGGAGTCTACAGTCAGAGTTGGCTCTCTAGCAATTGTTATCGTGAACCCCAAGACGGGAGGTGAAGCGGAAATTTCAGCAAAAGTAGCTTCAAGCTCCATTGCAATGTCAATCACATTCAAAATGAATTGGTGATAGATGACTGAGGAGCAGTTGCCCAATGCAGTACAAAACGAAAGAGAAAGTGCAATGGCCCAATACTAATTAGGTGGAAGAGCGAGGAGCAGTGCGCCTGATCCACTCGTGACTAGGGCTTTTGGGTTCGGGGTTCACTTGGTCACTGGTGCTGAGACTGACTAGAACAACTCGTCACCTTCCTCATGGCTGACACTGCGGAAAATACAGTGTATCTCAAAAGTACAAGTTCGTCCTATTTTCCTTTGATATGCGTTTATGTCGCGCCCCTTTTGCCGCTTGAAAGTGCGCGACAAAGGCGGAAGAAGCTCGTCTGAGCCCCAACCCACACCTTCGTCCGCAAGCCCCACCCTCTGCCGTCGGTTACCACGTGCTTGAAAAGCGCGAGCGCACTCGAGGCAGCAGCCCATTGCGGCCCAGGGTCAACCGTGACGCTCGCAGTTTTTCAAAAATTTCGCGGCCCTCCTTCTTTAGGGGGGTCTCGATGCGATCCTCAAAGCTTATGCTAGGCGCACCAACGGGTTCACTCGAATTGCAGCGCTCTTTGCGTAATATAGAACGCTGCAGCGGTGTAAACACGGTTGAGCGAGGGGTCGAGCAGAATTTTTTCGAGAACCCGTCATAAGGAACTCCGCTATCCCGACCTCCAATAAGAGTCATTCAACAACAACAAGTAGAAAACGTCAAAAAAAAACATTGGCAATGAGTCCTACCAACAAATGGAGAGAAGACTGACGAATTATTATAGTTGTGAAAAATGACAGCTTTTTTCCTTCATTTCCTTAGGAAAATTTACCAAGTCTTAGCACTGCACGGAGTATGCTCCTCAATCTACACGTCCATTTTGGTTGTCAGGTGTCTTGGGACCGCTTTAGCCAGCATTGTGTTGATTGGTCTTGGGCCCTTTCAACCAGTACTGAATTCACGAAAATTAATACGAAAGTCAGATTCAGGTTGATTAACGAGAAAAATTCTTGTAGAGTGCGAGTTTTTGTGATTTCCCAAGTCATACCTTCCTTCGAATGCAACATTTCACAGATTTTTATGTGGCAATGTAGACTAGGAGATTTGCTCTAAATAAATAACAGTTGCTGAGATGGCTCGAGTCGTTCAGTATTTCAATGGCTCCGTTGAAGATTTTGCCCAGGTAGCGCCAAGGGACTTGTGCCTTGCTGCATTAGTTATCTTTCAACGACTGGAGCTCCTTTCAAAAATGATTTTGTATAAAAATGAGAGCAGTTTCGAAACCAACACACATTTTTTTCCAAAAGTGTAAGAGCGTTTAGCAAGTTCCAATTCCTATGATTATATGTTTATAAATGAGACTGAAAACTGGATTTCTTCTCAAATAAAGTTTCATCTCTGTCATTTTACACCACTTCTCCTTTTTCCTGAAGCAACATTTTTAAAAGGCCGTAGCTGAAGCGTGCGCAACCGACAGGGCTCACTCTAGGACGCGCCGGTGCTTCACATCCCTTCTTATTGATGGTTTCATGAAAAATAAAATATCCCTCGGGAAACATGCGAATTACGGATTTTTTAAGCTTGGCGAAATAAGAGGTAGCATAGAATTACTACGCGGCCCCCTCAAACCTAGAATTTTATATGGGCGAAATAACATTGTTATTGGAAATTCTCTGGCTAAGCTCGCACAGCATCGATCACTCCTTAATAATTGTCCTCCGGACATTGATGATCCTACTGCATCGATCCTGTCCTAAGCGTACGCTTCACCCTGCGTATAGGTCCTTTTACGATGAAATGGGTGTGCTACCGATGAAGTAACAAATCCTTGTAAAGACTTCTGGACTCCTCATCTGATTAAACTGAAACTCATCAAATTCAATAGAAAACCTCTGAGACATCCTCATCCCGAACTTTTGACCTACTGCGGACAAACCGGCGATGTGGAACACTCAAGAAATCCCATTCAAGGAGCTTAGGAGGAGGTACCGCTCTAAGCAATATTTCAACTTGCCTTGAGCACGCCTAAGCGGAAATGATTGAAATCGCTAGAAGAAGTGAAATTGTTGCGACCTTACAGGAGTTATTCTTGCTGCTAAATTTCTAGGTGTATCGAGTAAAAAGTTGGGTACAAAAGTGAACCTATTCTTCTATTCTTTTGGGACACAATATTTTTCGAAAAAAAAATCAAAAACGTATTCGTAAAATTTTAAATTCTTACAATTAAATTCTTAAAATGTATTATTCTTATTTTTTAGTCTATTCATAATATATTAACAGGACTTCAATGAGGTAATAAGGTATTGCTGGCAGAAACTTTGGAGAAAAACCATTCATTTGTTTCATGGATATCGATGGGAAATCCGGTGAACCTACTGGACACATTGTGAAGGAATTCATATAGTCCTCCAAGTAGGGTACACGGGAGGTAGGCTAAACTTGCCATATGCAGCCCAGATTTCTAGCTTTCTCTCCACAAATTTCTGATCAGTGACAGTGTTCTTTTTCCCAGACTCGTTATTCCAGCTCGTCAGGGTTTCCTTCTTCTGTTTCGGCGACATTCTCACGCCAATCTTCGTCGCGCAGCTCAATTGGTGTGTCTCGACGCCGTGACAGCACCTTACGTGAGTCGCCGGTTCGCGGACATCATAGCCGTAAGTACCGTACTGTGATCCACTGACCAGTCGTGAAGAGAAGACTTTACAGCGTTCTCACGTAGTCCATATATGCGACATTCGTCATCGTCTCAGTACTGCGGTGAATTGATACGAAACTCACCGGCACGTACCAGTGGGATGTCTGAGGACAGCGGCGTGCAAATTTGGAACGAATCGACGGCATTGCCTGGAGGACAGCATGTACGAATCCTCGCATATCGCAAGCTTTAAAAATGTTCAGGAACTACAACTAATTGAAGGTCGCCTTCTCCCAGACGCTGATCCGTAATGCAGAAGGCCGTTGGTCAGATGGTCGGATTGTTCAGCGACGAAAACCGAAACGCTCGTCGACGTTTCAGCGCGACAGCCCGGCTCGTATACCACAAAGTAAGCGCTATTTTTAAGAAAGTAAACAGTTCAATATACATACCACCACCGGATACTTTTTACCACTACTTGCACATCTCATCCATAATGTTGGAGTATAATACAAAATGTCGCTCGGAGCTTTTCCCCCGAAAATCACCCGAAGGAAAGCCCAGTGATGTTGTTTCATATTGAACTGCATAACGCCCGTCACCCGTTATTTTCGGTTTTTGTGGAACGCCTACAGGGGAGGTCAATAAAAAAAGACATTTTGTCTCCAGACTCAAATGGATTTGATCAACTTTGCCCAGCTCAAAGCGTGTGCTCCTAACTTAGAATTGAAGTACGCATTTCATTTTATAAGAAATCTTCATAGTGGCCATCTACGTGGACGGCATCAGAAAAGTTTGCCCCGGAAACATGGTGCTCTGGCCAAGCTCAATGGGGTTCTCGATGGATCGTGTACCATTACTACGTGTCTCGAAGGGCGGGTTCCGAGGGGGTTTGCGTATTTAGAGGTAATGTTTCTAGGAAACTATCCAACGATGAATCGATTGAAGAAATGTAAGAGCTTCACGCCGAGTTACTGTAGGCCTCCCTGAGCTCGACGACGGTGACAGATGACGTCATATTCTGAAGACGGTGAGGGTAGTGAAGGAGGGCTTGCGTGCACTTACAGAGAGACATTTAGGGATTATTTTGCTGAGGAACTTCCTTCAACGACGGCAAGCTCTGCGAAAAAAAAGGGCCGAAGTACGACCTGGGCAAAATGTCTTTAAATTAATATCGCACGGAACCGGAGAACAAAGATACTGGGACACTTTTGGGAAGAAGTTCTTTATAATACCGTGCAAGAGTGTGCAACCCCTTCAACATTTCCCACTCAGTCTCTCTATCATGTTCAGATCGTGGAAAATCTCAGCGAGCTTCCTATCCATCACCAATGCATTTTGATATAGATGCTTGCTGTGATTGTAACAATGCGAATTGCTGCCGTCGACAACGGTAATCATTTGCTTCTTATGTCATAAAAACTCGATATTAGATCACTTCTCAGGGCTCGTTCAATGATCCAGGAAAGGTCAGCGGATTCGCCAACATACGACTTTCCGACCGAGCTCAATGTCTCTAATCTTCCGCAGTCGTCGTCCTATCAAGAAGCACTACGTGCTGCTGGCAGTACCTCTGTAATGACACCGACGGCATCCGACAACCGTCTTGTCCCCTTAAGTGAGCCGACTCCTCCTCAATCAATGGTCGTTAGGTGAGATTTTGCAAAACTCATTTGTGAATAATTTTTTGGGAGTTTGATACTGAGGCTCTTGACCTTGTGTTACCTGAAGATACATAATCATTTCACCCAGGTAAACGGATTACCTACTTTGGTGAGATTCTTAACATGACCTGACCGATAACATGACCTGCATAACCTGTCCTCCTCTTGTTCATTGAGTTCCTACGCCAGTAACACTTCCTTTCAATCCTGTCGCGTGCTACAGTGCTCCAGTGGATTCTCTTCGCTTGAGTGACATACGCTCAAATTAATTCCGTTCGGATCTTTCGTGAAGAAGTCTGACCATCGAACGAGCACTCAGCATAGTGTTCGCTTGAGAAGCCGGGTAACCGCTCCCACTCTGGTTTAGCCATCATCACATAATTGCATTACTTGTGAGGCCAGCCTGATCTTCGATTTCTTGTCGGGAACTACAGCAATTCTGGCCTTAGATCTTTGATGGAGTTCGGAGTTCCTAATCCTGCGCTCCTCTCCACAGCGCATGAGCGACGCTGACCACGCTTATACTGGCGCAGAGTCCAGCTTGCTGAGATAAATGGTTATGCAAGAAAGAGTGCAGTATGAATAGTGGACGCAGAACTGGTACCGGTTTTTTTTGACTTTTTCCTCAATGTTCCTGAATGCTCCTATGATGCTCGTTTCCNCCAGCTCAGCTCTGGAGCCTATTTTATTCATATGGAGCCTATTTTATTCATAATGTTGATGTCCCACTTAGGTACTCGTTAACGGAGCATTCGGAGAGGTTTGCTCCATTAAGTGTGGACGGGAGCATCAAAAACCAGTCTGTGTCGCACAACCGCTCGTTGGAGTGAGCTGCAAACAGATCCAAACGCCCTGTCTGTAGCCAACATTTGCTCTGTTCTCGATGTTTGTTGTCACCAGCGAAGCTGAGATAGTGTACCGACCGTCGGCCTTCGCTACCATTTCTTCCCATTCCAAATAACGATGATGTTCTTGAAAGCAGCGATGAAAAGTGGGGCGATATAGTGGCGCCCTGTCAATCTTTCTCTTCAAGTCTATGATGTTCTCATGCAAAACGGTGTATCCCTGTTAAGTTGCTATGAAGCTACCGTAACATCCTGATGTGCTGGAAAGGAACGCCCTGGTTCCCGTATATAAAGTAATGCGGGGCGTCCTCTTCGCACACGCATCAGGGAACACATGGAGGGGTTCGAAAAGTCACGCACTCAAACATCATTAGGAATGCATAGGGTTCAGTCTCATAGGGATGCTGCATTCACAGCTGCTGTCTGTTACCATCCTGTCTCTAGAAGAGGAAACACCGCGCGGTATACGCTGGAGGCATTCTGAATAGCTGCTAGAGACCCTAAAATCAATAGGGAAGAAGAGTGTGTAGCCGTTACCCGTGATCTGGCGCCCTTCCTCGACCTCTGCAGGTTTTGAGTTTCGATGAGGTCAGGTATTACAGAATAAATAGGTTTGCTCATTCCACGCTAGAGCCTGCTTCTTAGGTGGTCGATCTTGCGCGTCAGCGACAAAGATGCAGATTAGCCTTGTAGCCCTCTTCGATCAATCGATACCGCCGACGTAAGACTGATAAAAAAAAGTGCTGAAATCTTGGACAGACTACAACAAGCATACACATCAACTTCCATGCCAAGAGTAAAAAAAAGTCGTTCTCGAACTATTCTACAACAAGAACTCTGAGTAATCTGTAGTTACAGAACTAGTTCGCAATCCACGTAGTGTGAATCGATTTGTTAGGCGTGAATTGATAACTGATCCCTATTTCAGCTATGTAAACCCAATACACCACCCTCCAGTCACGCCATGCGTGAATCCGCTTTCATCGCCCGAGCTACGGATCAGTCCGACACCCCCAGTGCGAAAGTTATCCAACCAATCGACAAACGCCGAGCAAAACAGTGAAGAACTATTCTCGTCACTCGACTCGAACAACCCGAGGCCGAATCCTCAGATGCAGTCCGATGCGTCCGCCGAGAACAGCACCGATGACGAGAAGGACATGGAGAACGGGTATGAGATTTGATTTGCCTGGGATGCATGAGTTTCAGACAAACATCATATACAATTTGATTCTCTTAAAGAAATGTGCTCGACTCGTCTCTCGATTCGCAAAAAGCCTTCAGCGCGCTAACAAAAACGAGCAGCGAGGAAGACAGCGCGGAAAAACGGTGAGATGGACAGAGTAATTTGAGAAACTCTTTTACTATGCAACTGGTGTTTTTTATCCTCCCAGACAGGTGTGGTACCAATTAACCGACCCCGGAGGGATGGAAGGCTTGGTTGGCCCGGGCGACTCCCGACCCAGGATTTGATCCCCGAACCGCTCGCGTGGTGAGCGTGCCACTTGCCGCTACACCATTTCCGCCCTGAAACAAAAGTATACTGTGCACAAATGACTCTCGCTGAGCGAGCATAGAACAGAAGACAGCTGGTCATCAGCGAGTCATGAGACATGCTGCTTATGCGAAGAATACCTCTGATTGTGGCGTTTTTCATAATTCGGTTTCTATTTGGCGCAGCCGATTTGAAGACATGTCGGGACTGTCATTGAACATTACCTCGTTCATTAAAATTGGAAATGGGTCTGCGCGTAATTACGCTTGTCACTACCATGGGACAGATTTCTCCAAGAAATTGCACAAGAGTGACTTTTCATCATAGACGTATTCAGAAGACGTGAACTGATCATGATGACCTCGTCGTCGACAATGGCCTCTTCACTAGAGCGATCTCTCGAGCAAGGCGCAATGCACTCAGATGGACTCAGCGACAAGGAAAGACGTGTACGAGCCGTGAAGAACACAATTCGTGGACATCGGCGAACGCAGTCGGTGAGTTTTTTCTAAAGATCCTCAGAACTTGTCCGAAAGGGGTGCAATCTGTGGCGCTGTTCGTATGATACACATTATGTTTGAAAAAGCGGGAATACAACCGCGCCACATGGACGATAATCAGAGATTTACTGGACGTTGCTTATTACTCGACTAAATTGAACTATTCGTTCGAAGAGCAGGTGTGCGGCAACTTATCCGAAATGGACGGGTCTTGCTGAAAGCAATGATCATGCGAAATTGCACAATTTCCTTTTGACTACACGCTTTTTAGAACCCACAATCAGTCGTCATGTCGATAGTCGACGAAACTAGTTCAGAGACCGATTCTGACGACGCGGTCGATATCTAAGCCCGCCCACACTTGCAGAGATCCGCCCATCATTTCGTCGTCTGTGAACCATGTGCACACTTTGTTTATCTTCATCCCTTCTGACTTTTCTACCTATCCAAGAAAAGTTTTTTCACATTTATGTGTGAGTACTCCTAAACGTTGCTGTAATTAATTTCGGTGTTGTATGAAATAGTTGGTCCAAAATTCGGGCCACACGTCCAATTCCCTTAGGCGGCACTTTTTTTTGCTCTGACACATTATACATTGGATGATTCCGTACTTGTAGATTTCATAGAAAAGGACAGGCTTCAGCTCAAAAAAATATACATGAAATCAGTGAATCAGAATTTTATGTTTTGATTAGGAGTGGCAGAGTAAGCATAAAACGTTTAAAGATCTGGTCATCTGCACCAGGACGGTGCGTAATGGGCGGACGTTTCTCTGTCTACTATTTCTTGTATGTGTAGTGTTCAGTAAATTATAACTATTGTTTATTCATTTCATATGAAAATCCACTTACGTACCACTCATATGTAATCCTGTGCTTCTCTTGCGTGTATATTTTGGTCCACTGTACTGTGTTCAGTTGTAATATTGTAACAATCTGAAAAGAATCTTGGAACACCTATAAAACTCTTTTGTTCAACATACATAGCCTTCTCTAACTTTTATATCCAGGAAGAACTCGGCGTTGACCGTTCCCTGTTTGAGAATCTAGCAATCCACTTCGATTCATTAATATATTGTTATAATAAAGTTCATCTACGCGATGGGGCCAGTCGATTTGCACTTCACTTTTGTCCTCAAATAGTGTGTCTCAAGGGTATAGGTTCGCCCCATTTGTGATCGATATCTCTGAGAAAACGAATGATTTCTTTTGATATATTGTGAATAAATTTGAAAAGCATAGCATACACTGGTTTTTTGATTCGTTTTTTTTTTCAGAAATATGCTGTTCCAAAAGTATAGGGTCACTTCGATGTTCAGTCTTTCCTTACAATATACTTAATAAAATTTAGAACAGTAAAAGCAAATTTGACCTTGCAATACTCCCTTGCCTTGGGTGATTTCAGTCATCCGCTTTGACGCACTTAAGAAAAGATGGGAGAATGTTCGGAGTGGTAGCCATTCCAGACCTCTAAGGATTTTTTGATTGTTCTACTCTATCGAGCTGTCCACAGTGGGTCAAAAAGTTCAGGGACGCGGATGTCAAAGAGAGTCGTAATCGAATTCGAATTTGGTCAGATGAAAAGACTTTTCTCCTTTAATAACGCGCCACTGCTAAGGCACTTGTGTAAACGGTAACGCATTCTTCTGAAATTTAAAGCTCTCGAATGAGAATTGCTTGCTTGTGGTACTAGTTCGACTTGAGGAGTGACCTAATAAGCAACAGAGTTTACGACATGTGTGATGGACACGATTTGACCCTTACATAAGCCAAGGAGGCAGCCCAAACCATTGCATGAGCCTTAACAAGTCCTCCAATCAAGAAGGAGCATGACTTCTTCGTTACATCGTGCTTAAGATTTATTAGGTTATTGAAATAGAAATTAGGTCTCTTTCATTTGAAAAAAAAAACTACCTACACCAGCTTGGCGTTCTGTATTACATAAGATGATCACTGCAAACCACCTCAACCCGATGGTGCGCACGTCCAGCAGGTACACCTCGGCAAAGTACTATCTTCGCACAATGTAGGGTGATGACTTGAGCACACGGCCAGAAGAGCTTTTGACACACTAGGTGCCACTTCCTCGCCAACTCGTTGCACACCCTTTGTAGAGTTGAACGCAGCATTATGGATTTGGCGCCTTTGCCTCTCAGGAAGCTTCCCCAATATACCATATTGTGGCAGAATTTATTGGTAAAGTTGAAAGATCAACCTACATTTTTTCAAGACGCAATTCATCTTTACAACCTATCCTGAGACCTATCTCACGATAAGAGCGAGGGTCGAAGAATGGGAAACCGGCCTAGCAGAGGGAGCCTTAGCGTTGAAGAGGGCACGATGAGAGTCGCATCAATGCGAAAATCTTCGGGCAAGGAAAGGGTACCTACCAATTCTCGGGTTCTCGACTGACGTGGCTTCTTCTTCATCCCTACTTTACTGACCACCTCCACCCTTATTTTTAATAAGCTATTTTTTATCGTAAAATCCCCGTTGGAGAGGTACATGAGGCAGAAGGACCAGTGAACCAATACTTTTGATTGACGCCATGTTTTCAAAGTAATAAACGCCTGGGTTTCTCTCATTTACATGTCTAGTCAACCTACACCAACGCAGCTCCCATTGGATATTGCTGGGAAGAATTCGAAGCGAAGTTATTTTCTTACAGAAATATCTACGTAAAATGGACGAACCCAACTTTTAGGACACAATTTGGGCAAGTCTGGTACCAACAATGACCCCGTAAAGATGTGAAGCTTGGTTTGCTCTCGGCGGCATTTGAGATGAATTTAACCCTTTGACGACCGTATGGCCCGCCGGCGGGCCATGGCAACTAATTTCTTGTATTTCCTCCCTTCTGACATTTTTGGAGATTTTAGTTACTATTATGTTCACAATGATGGACTGATGAAAGGAATGATGGACTTCGTGTCCCTCGAGCAAGGAGGATCCACTGGACCACCCTAGCACGCGACAGGGACGAATGGAGACGTTGCTGGCGCCCGCTCGAGCAATTCGATGATCAACGGGACGACAGGTGATACAGGTGATTATGTTCACAACACCCTAACAAGGCTATGTACACAGTGGTCCACGAATTGCTTTCTTCTAGGGAGGAATCCAGAAACAATAGGCCTAGAAACACTTCTAATGACAATGTCAGCAAAAATATCATCATGACCCACAGAATACGAACACAGCACCTGTGGTGATTTTTGAAAAACCGGAGCAGTGGTCTTTACTGCCATTGTTGCCACTAATAATATTCTTTGCTGGTTTAGTCAAGGTACTAAGGTCTCAATTGAAGCCACTAAATTGGAATTCAGTGTGTGGTAGTAACCGTCTACTGAATAACGTTACTTGTTATTGACACCACAGTGACTAGAGAAAGAAGCTTGAAAGAAGCATTTGTATTCAAATCTGGTCGTTTTTTGAATGCAAGTTTTGCTCAAGAAAACGAATTGTTTTCGGTAGCTGCAACTCCAACAGTATTATCAAAACAGCTCTGTTACTCTAATATACTTAGGTCTTTTTCATTGGTCTTTTTCAGTACTTTCCTAATAATCCATCTGCGTTACAATGTATGGTTGATTAGTACGACGACTTACCTAAGAAAGTTTGCAATTTAACAATGTTGCTATCATCAAGCAAGAATGCGGTCTCCTGAGACCGCATGGCCCGGCGGCGGGCCACGTGCGTGTCTGGCGTGCGGTCCCACACGCTAGACACGTTTAGAGCGCGCGGTCGTCAAAGGGTTAATTCCATGATCGCGCGCTTGGTGAGCGGCACCGTCACCACTAAAGCAGCTCCACTCTAACAAAAGACTTCATCAATACATGTAATATTGCTAGATTCGAAAAATAATCCAGACAGGCGCAGCCTTATGGCGGCACCATGTCGCGCCTCGCCACGGGAGACAACTGATTTTAACGTTCTTCGGTCAGTACTACATGCGGCAGAGTATAGTTTATCACTTGGATACAGGGTCCAGCGAACCGTCGAAATTTGGAAATACGACCTCCGTCTCTTTCTCAAAGGACGAAGTTCACGAAACGACCCGCTTCACAAGCCAAACCATGAAAATCCCCAAGACTCAATTCTCCCCCAAGACTATTCATAAAAGCCCTGCTACCCCACCGTCCGCCAAAAAATTCGTTGAAGAAGTACGAAAGTGAAAATGTCAAAGGATGATCATTATTGATGAGTCCTACCAAGCGTGCAAACGAGAAAAGGAGCAAAAAACGGCAAACTAGTCACTAAAAATGGCATAATACGACAACATCTCTTCTTCATTTATTTCCTTCGGAAGCCTTAACAAATTCTAGTACTACACAGAGTATAGTTCTCAATTTACACGTCCCACTTCCAGCTGAAAGAAGCCTTGTAACCGCCTTAGCCAGCTGTGTGTTGACTGATCATTGGCGTTAGCCTTGGAGCAACTTATCTACTATTGAAATTTGAACACATACTCTAATGATTATAGCTTGCTTCAAATATGACGGATTTTTAATCTGAAAGCAGATTTGGGAGTTTTGTGAAGAGCTCTTCTTAATCAGTGTTGAAATTACAAAAATCTATAAGAAATAAGAAATTTAGATTAATTAATGAGGAAAATTCATGATGAGCACGAGTTTTCACAATTTCCGGAGCCATAACTTGCTTAATTTTCATAGAATTTGAAAAGTTAACATGGCATACAAAACTAGATGATTTTCTCTATCCAACGTTCACTGAAGCAGCTTTATACGTCCAGTAATTAAAAAATGGCAACGTGGAGGATTTTTGCAAAACTAACGAGGAAAATTCGTGATAAGTGCGAGTTTTTGCGCTTCCCAAAGCCATAACTTGCTTCATTTCCGTCGAATTTAGAAAGTTAATATGGCATACAAAATAGAAGATTTTCTCTATCCAACGTTTACTAAAGCAGCTTTATGCGTCCAGTAATCAAAAAATGGCTACGTCGAGGATTTTTACCCGAGTACCGCCGAGAGGTACTGCTCGCTATATTTCAACGACTATAGCTCCTTTCAAGGGAGATGATATACTGAAGTAGGAGCAGATTTGGAACCATCGTGCTTATCTCTCACCAAGAAGTGTAAAACTGTTTACGTATCTCATCATTTACACCTACAGTCGAGATCCGTGAGTTGGGGTAGGAGTGGCACCGTACGTGACGTGCACTTGATAGAGGCTACGTGGATAAGTTGCTTCCCACATACATCGCGGCATATCAGCAAAGCAAGCTGGCAACAGCTTATCCACGAACTTCTATCAAGTACACGTCACTTCCGGTGCCACACCTACCCCAACTTTCGGATATCGACTGTAAATGCTTATGAATTTGACGCTGAAGGCTGCATTTCTTATTGAATCGTGTACTTCTCCCTGTAATTTCACATAAACCCCTTCAGAATCTCTTAATTTTTGCCAAATTGACATTTCTTCTCTAGAGAGCCGTAGTTATAGCGCGCGCAACCAACTGGGCCCACTCTGAAATGCGCCGTGTGCTTCACATCCCTTCAGATTCGAGGATTCACATGAAAGATAAAACACCCCTCGGAAAACGTGCGAATTTCGGATTCCTTAACTTGTGTGGTGATAAAACACTGAAGTAACTAAGAATTGCCACGCGAACACCTCTGAACCACGAAGATTTTATATGGGCGGAATGACATTGTTACTGGAAATGGTATGACCTTCCATGTCATCAACTCAATCCTTAATGTTTTTCCTCCGACAGTGATGATCCTACTGCATCAATCCGGTCCGATCTCTTCCTCTCAGTGGGCCAACACCACCCCCCCCCCCCGCCTCCTGTAACGTGTCGAGAATTCCTCAACGCACGCTTGACCCTGCTTGGATATCGGCTACCTTCTCCAAATGATGACGTAGCCCGGCCAGGCTCAACTGTACGTTGCTACAAGAACACGAGAGGGGGTAGTATATGGTCCACGAAGTGGGAGGGGGTCGTAACCGCGGTAATTAGCGAGGGAAATCAATATCGACTCTGAAATTGATTGCCAAGTTAGAAGCACAGCGCAGGAACTTGCAGACTGTGACAGGCATTGTTAGCGCAGCTCCACGAATTCGAGTTATCAGTAACAAAATTTGTTATGAAAGTTTCTGATGTTTCTGGATCGAATGAAACGAAGAAAATTGCATGAAAAGGACTTGGAAAGAAGGAAAAAAAATACAAAAGAAATGTTTTGGAGGGACCGATTTCCATAAACGCTCAAGTGGATTTTCCGAAAGCATACTCGACGCTTTTCTAACTCACTCATAGTTTCACGAAATCAGTTTTTAAGGAAGTTATGACAACCGAAACTGAAAAAAACCGCATTTTCATGGAAATGGCTTGAAGAGAACCTCTCCAAAAAAGTTCCAATGGGACTAATTTTTAAATCGAGAATTTTTGAGTAAGTTCTGGCATTTTCAAGGAAATTGAAGTTTGAAGTCTGTCACACTGGCTTTACCTTCCCAAATCAATGAGCTTGAAGGAAGTTTGGATCATTTGAAGGTTGAAAACAAGCGGTTTCGAAAAAAAAGTTTCTTAACCCCCCTCCCCAAAAAAAAGTGAATATTCAAAAAAAAAGTTCAATTAGCTCCTAAAAAGCACGAGACTTGAAGTTTTTCATATGGCTTCAGCTTCTCAAATTATTGATGTTGAAGGAATTTGCGAGTTTGAACGTTGAAAACTCGCATTTGAACAGAAAATATACTAGTGCTCTCTTATTATTACCACGCCGTAAATAAAATTGTTATGAAAATTGACAACAAAAATACATAACAATCTTTTAAAAAAACCCTTTTTTGTTGAATAAACTTTCAAGGAATATTCAGCGACCCTTGGAGAATTCATAAATCGAATTTTCCTTATCTTCTCATACTGTCACACATTCTCGAATTTGAGTTGACTTTGTTGTTATGTTCAAAAGTTATGACCCTTGAAAGAGGGAGGTGCAAACTTTATTAAAATTTTATTTGATTGGCGCAGGAACACCGGGGGAAATGGGAAATACTTCCGTGGCCCCGAATTTCTCCGCGTGCATATGTAAGTAAGTGTTTCCGTGCATACACATGTTCGGCGAGGGGAGTCACATCAAGGCTATCGAAAAAGGGGAGGGTCGTAAAAATGTCAAAAAATACCAACGGTGGGTTGACCATGAGCCCAGTTTCGTTCGAAGATCCCGGCAAATTCGGACGGTGGTCGAATGCATGGCAATCTGCCTCAAAAGATCGATCAACCCTCAACAGTTTTGCTTCTGTGCTTTAGCACATTAAATAGGTGCTTCTTAGTTTCATGCAAAATACATGACTTTGAAGCGCAAAGCTCCAAAAGCGCAGCATACATACTGCTTGATAGATATGCTTGTCGCAAGGAAGAGTGGAGGAGATTATTCACGAGTTTTGCTCGCATGTGCTACTAATTAAGTAATAGTACTAATAGTAATAATTAGTACTAATATAAGTGGTTCAGTGCTGGTATCACTACGGAATCTCCAAGCATTGCTTAAAATGATAGAGGCGATGGCTAGGGAGCGAAACTAATGGTCAGAATCACTGAGGAGAACACGCTGAGTGGTGTGGTCGGACCGCCTCCAAACATTCTCCCTCTGATGGCGTCTTCTAATCAGCTCCTCCTCCAACAAGCACGCGCTACCATAGTGTATTGACGTTGTCCCCAGACTACGCCAATACACTATGGTATCATGAAGCGCTCTAACTTATGAGTTCCTTCATGTTTTTTGCTGAGTTGCACAAGCTCCCTAGCTCGAACAGACTAATCATTTCTACAGCACTCAAGCGTAATCGAGCACAGACAATATTTCTGAGACCAGTGACACATACCTTGGCGACTATCCACTGTCATAGCAGCAAATATTTATCTATAAACCACGTTTCTTAGAAGCAAATATTACTCATCTATGAACCACGTATAAATATTACTCTGTAGCAAATCTGGCAGAAAGCGAAAGAAATCACAGACGGAAAGCGCGAAAATCAAATAGATCACGTCGGAGGCGCTCATCCACCGCGCAGAAGACCTGCCGACGAGGCTACGAGGCGAGTTGTGAGAGCGTGGCGACACGAACCGGCGACGACATCGACTGCGAAGCTGCGCACGAGGCATGTGACGGCGACAGATGCACTGGCGGATCCTCTCCGGCAACGTAGTAATGGGTCACTCCATTCTCTCCTTCGATAGTAGAAATACTGAAATGAACTTCAGAATTCAGTCTGAAAGCTGAACAGAAGACAATGACACCGAGTTCTTACCTTGTAGTCGTACTCATGCCTTCTTTGGTCACACCCAACACTGGTGCAGGACGCTGCGTCGACGGATGTGCAGCCGTACGCAACATATCACGTGATGTACATCGCGTTGGGGTCGCTATAGCGGGCATAGTCGTGCTCTTTGCCGTCGTCGGTACCACAGCACCCGGCAGTCGTCTCAGAAGATGTGGATTTTCACAATTGAAGGATGTCATCTGCTCCTTCTGATGTTCAAAGCATTCACGACAAAGAAAGTTGTTTGTTTGCAACGCTGGCTGGAATGCAGCGATTGAACAATGCAGTGAATGCGAATATAGTATGCCGATATTACAAATACAAACCTTGCCACAGTATTGATTTATACAAGTAATCATCAGTGATGACGCACTGAACGATCGGCTGATACGCTTTCGACTGCTAGATGGCTGGAATAGGAACGCTATATGTTCAAAGGCTCTTAAAACTGCCATGGACTCAATTGAGTGATGAAAATGTAATCCTACTATATATAATCGGCTAAGCGGTCGTGTGTGTGTCTGACCGGAAATTCATAACTTCTCTCCCTTTGGACCCAGAGCGCTCAAACCTCTAGGATATATAGCGGGCTGGGCGTGGACGCTGATGATGGGTGGCGGGAAGTAATAACTACTGATAGCAACTGAAAAGGGACGCCGAAATGTTGACGTCACCAATTTCGTTACGCCGTTTGCGTTGACGGTGGACAGTTTGCACTTATGTATGAATGATACAGTAGCGGTCAAAAGTTTGGAAACTTTTTTATTTTTGATCTTGTGTAGCCAGTAGACGATGGAATTGTCCCGAATTCACACATTATGTACAAAATCAGGTATAGATTACGACGAGCAATATAATTTTCTGAAAACGAGATTCCCTTCTGGAAAGTACGAGTTTTTATAAGAAATGGCGCCTCAAAAGTTTGGGAACTTCTCAATTCCAAAGCGAATTCGGCAAAATGCTCTCGAATCTACATGGCAAATTGACTATACGATAAATAGCTGTAAGTTTCTATGTCAGCGTCGTTATTATTGACATGGAGTTGACTATAAGATAATTTTAGGACTTTTAAGTCGAACCCTGCGCACTGTAAATCAAATCGCATTGTATGGTGGGATTCTTAACTGGAATGTGGGTTGAGCGACATGCCAGTTCTTCCATGGGATGTAGAACTCAACTGAACTTTAGATCATGACTTGGTCACTTCATAACAGCTGCTTTTTCTTAATTTTGGGAGGCAGCAGTGAGGAGGTAGGCATGCATTGGGTCATTTCCGCGATAAAAAAACCCATCTTTTCCGGATAGTTCTGACTATCGAAGGGAAGCGTTGTATTCTAGTGACTACCTTTGTGTTTAGCCCAACACACATTTCGCTGGATACTATGAACTGGGGAATCGCCGAATGGTCGGACACATCTTCATCCATGACAGTACTTCCACTATTTCCGGCTGTTGGAGTCTGGTAGCTAGAATTAGGTTTCCTGTTCATAAAACACCTCACAGGACCTACCAACATCATCCTCAGTTAGAAAGAAATCTCGCTCGTCGCTGAGGACAAACTTTTACCTCTCGCCTTCGGTCCTTGTTAACCGTTAGCGGGCGGAACCCAATTGGGCAATCCTGCTCTTGAAGGTCAGCAATGGCTTCTTGGTGGGATGTCATCGTAATATTCACCATGTCGCGGCCGATGTTGGGCTACACTTGGACTTTCATATGATTAGGAAAAAAATAGAAAAAGTCGTTTCTTAGTTGGGGATATCGGGGGTACGGAACGTGTCAACCACCCTTCAGAGTATTTTAGGAAGGTCAATTTTCTTGTTAGGATATTTTTTGTGAATGATCAATCTTCTTATGCTCACTCGACTCCAAAAACGTTACAAACATTCGATAATACTGCTTTCAAAGAGACTGACTATTAAGAAACAATTTTAATTTCGTATTCCGGATTGTAGGGTTTAAAAAAGGACCACCCATGAGAAAACTGCTTCCTTTGCATATTAATTCATTTTGAAATTACACATTACTCAAAGGTTGAACTAAAATTAACAGAAACAAGTGAACATTGAAGAGTAGGAATCATAATGGTGAGGGAAACAAAAAGTTTCCAAACTTTTGACGAGCCATTTTTTGAAAAAAAATCTTATTTCTTAAAAAGGATTATAGATTTTTGGAACTTGTTCTTCCCATCGTATCCCGGACTTGATTTTTTATGCAATATCTGAATTTGGGACAATTTCGTTACGTGTCGGCCGCGATAGATCAAAAATAAAAAAGTTTCCAAATTGACCGCTACTGTATGTGGGGTGAAGCGGGGACCAAGAAGTTGAGGGAGTGAATGTGGTAGCAACTGAAAAGAACTCAGAAGAAGCGTCAAAGTGTGGATACCACCAGTTGCGTTGTGGCCCTCGCAGTTACATTGGAACCTTGACTCTCACATGTGGTATAAGGGATGAGACGGGAACACGGATAGTGGATGATCAAAATTGATAACAAGCGATAACAGCTGATAAGGAAGTTAGGATTTGAGTACTGCTAATGTCGAAATAGCCTTCGTGGTGACAATAAATATTAGCTCCTCCACGTCGCCTGGAGGGTGGGACGGAGACAACGATTGCGAACAGTATGAATTGGTAGCAAATGACAAGGAATGATAGCGCCTCAATGCAGGTCTCCCCAACTTCCTTGCAATTATCATTGGCAAGCGATCGAAGTGGCGAGGGTCGAATGTGGGCGACAAAAGTAGTATGAGCGGCAACGGTACTAATAAAAGTAGCGACAGTTTAGCGTGCTTCAACTAAACCAGATCCCTAGCACGTGAATACAATCCATTCCTACCCTTTCGTCTGAAGAAGCAAAGAAAGTTGAGCTGCTCAACTATTTGGACTTGGATTAATAGCGAATTTCCATTATTGGGGAGACCCACCCTCGGTTGGCGGGGCGTTCTCTAAAAAAGCGGTGCTCAATGAAAATTCATAACTCGGTTAGGAGGAAGCCTACAGAGCAGAAAAGAAACTAGTGCAGGTAAGCGATGTCTAAAGTATTTCCAGCACACATGATGTGAACGAAGGTCCGCCCACAATGGGCGGAGCGTGTCCCGAAGTAGACGACGTTTTACAAAAGCTCATAAATGGGCTCCGAGATGACTTGCAAACCGGAAAACAGTGGAAGAGGTCAGGAGAGGAGGAGAAGCTAAATGTCAGGGCTGGGCGTGGCTTACACCAAGGTGGGCGAAGTTTGCAACCATGTGCTTGATTAGATTCGATTTACTACGCACGTAGAGATGGTTTTGGACAAATTCCGATGTGTAATAAATATCCAAATAAGGAACAAATGAGTGCAGTACTATGGAAGAATCCACTTTTCGAGGCTAAAAATAAAAGTTTTCTGGACCAAAATGTTTTGAGGAAGCTTCTTCAAGGGGCTTGTAGAACATATTAGAAAGCAGAAGTCTCGTGGTCGTAAAAATGCCTTCGCTCCTCCCCTACAAGCGTTTTGAAAAGAGTTCTAATTGTGGAAAGCTCAAAAACTCGTACGGCTCAAAAACAGGAAAAAATGGCAAACGTGGTGAGTTCCTCGTAACGTTAACTTTAAGAAACGAGTGGGTGTTGAGAAACATTACCTCCAGAAAGTGCGAACGTGTGATGCTTGCGATAAATGAACTTCGAGAAACGGCTTGATGCTTGTTAGAAAGCGCAAATCTTGAATTTTCTTGCCCCGCTAAAAGTTTGCCTCGGAAATGAAAAGCAAGTGAGTTATGGCCACTGAAAACCGAAAATTGCCCTCGCATGGAAAATAGGCGAGCGTGGCGATTCTCAGAAAAAGAAGGTAATCACGAAATTTCCAACACAGTTTGGATAGAGAAGTATTTCAAGTTTCTGAAAATTTTAACCGCCACTCGAAAACTTGTGCAAGAAGTTATGGCCTTTCGAAAATGGAGGTGCGCCTCCCCAGGAATTTGGGTCTTTCAATTCGTAAGAAGCACTTGCCGGCAAGAGGTGTAACCTAGGTAATTTGTGAAAGCAGACGACAAGTTCAAATTCCAAATCCACCTAGACGATTGGAAAAAGTGGGATTACAAAGATGTGCATGTCCTCTTCAACTTTTTGCATGACGCGCTAATGATAAGTCCCCTCGTCGCCTCAGCAACTCAGCCGCGCCCCAAAAGAATTCGAAATTTCTTACATGTTCTATCTGGTTTTGAGCTTCAATTATAAAACTTAATGAGACCCGCTTTTAGATACTGTTGTGATAATGGGAAGGGGAACTGACTGGCGTCACTCGTGAGTCTGTAAGATCCAAGATTTGCTTTGTAATTGCAATTGCTATAGAGTACTTCTCCATGTTGCTCATAAACTGCGGTCCAGGGCATGGTGGCGGATCTGCCGTTGGAGAATGAAATATGGTGATGGAAAAATAGCTAGGAGCTCCGACCCACACCAGAAAAGATCATCCGCTAAAGACTCCGCTACTCAGTTCATGATGTTTGATGCATCAAAACGTACATCTCAATGACGGTTAGCTTTACGGCACCAGGGAGTCACACCTGGACCCCTCGAGGGAAGGGGGGGATCGCGAAAATTTCGAAAAAGTGAGAACGTGACAGTTGACCCTGTAAATGAAGGAGAGCTTGTGTCTACTTAGGGAGGAATACCTTGCTGTAAAACTCCCGTCCACAGCGGCAATCTTTGTGACAGAAAGATCGTGGACATGGAATGTGACATGGGTAAAAGCTTTTTTTTTTCAAATCCCCCGTAAGTTTGTGCTGGAAGAACAGCTCATAAATATTTTGACGTTCTGTACAGAGTCACCTGTATCACCTGTCGCCCCGTTTATCGTCGATTTGCTGGAGAGGGCGCCAGCAACGTCTTCATTCGTCCCTGTCGCGATCCTCCTTGCTCGAGGGACACGATGTCGTTCATTCCTTTCCTTCAGAGCTTTCGTGAAGAAGTCTGACCATCGGGCCGACAGTCGTCCAGATGTTCTTTTGACGTCCCGAGGTATCCAATCGGTAACCGCTCTTGTCCAACGGTCATCGCAAAATCGCATGACGTGTCCGGCCCACCTTATCTTCGATTCATTGACGAAAAGGGCAGCGTCCCTGATCTTCGATCGTTGGCGCAGTACCGAACTCCGGATTCCCCTCTGCACTTGTGTGTACAGGGTTACTCCTGGCATCGTCCTCTTGACAGCGCGTTGGATAACGCTAACCGCATGCTCGTCCCGCCTGCGCCGAGTCCAAGTCTCTGAGCGTAGGTTGGGGCAGGAAGGACAGCGGAATCGAAGAGGTGGGCACAGATGTTCTTCGTCGTCTTCACTACTCCCTCGATGTTCTTGAATGCTCCCCATGCCGCTAGTTTCCTCCTGCTCAGCTCTGGAGCTAGGCCGTTCATCATATTGATTTCCCGACCTAGGTACACGTAGCTGGGGCATTCGGTGATGTTCGTTCCGTTGAGCT